AAATATCATTGAGTGCCTTATATTTTCCAAGTCAGACTAGGAACTGTGGAAAACCATCAGATACCATGGTCCCTTGTTTGAAAAAAAATGTACTTTCAAGAAAGAATGGTGATGAATATTATGGGATTGTAAAAACTCATCAAAGATTCAGGCTTCTTATGCGTTAGTATTAAATTAGAAATAATAGATGCCATAATTTTGTAATAGCAATGGGGATGTTAACAATTAGAATAATAAAACACATTAACATTCTAATTTTATATAGCTTTATTTGAAAAAAGCCTGTATATTTTTATTAATAAAAAAATGGAATTTAACAGGAATAAATGGAACCTTAGATTCTATGGTATAGAGTTTACTTCTAATATATTGCTTAATATACAATTGCTATATATGCCTTCAACAAATACCTGGGGTAACCCTAATTTTAAAACATAAATTCCATTATTTTTAATTAACATTATGTATTAAGCACATTCAAAAAAGGATTATTCAGTATGATGATTAAAGGCACATTATATCTTTACACACTTCCTAATCATTTTCCAGTTCTTAGATATGTATGAAGTTGAACCCCTCAAACCAGAATTTATTTACAAAAAATTGTGTTTATTCTTACATGTTTAAACTTGAGTTACCTTCAAAGTACTCTTCAGTTAATGTAATATACCTATCAAAACACTTTTTCCACCTCTTGAAACAGTTTTTGAACTCATCAATTTTGATGCCTTTTAGAGCTTCTGCAGTTTTTTGTTTCACTTTTTCCACATCGGCAAAATGTTTCCCTTTGAAGACTTTTTTCATCTGAGAAAACAACAGCAACAAAAAAATTGCTCAGGTTGAAATCCAGTGAATAGGGAGCACAGGGTACAGGAGTTACGGCATTTTGGGTCAAAAACTGCTGACCACTCAACTGAGCATGGGCAGGTGCATTTGTAAATGACCCACAAAGAAATGGGCAAATACGTTAAAACAATCTCCAAAAAAATTAACTCAACATTTCACCACAATGCTAGCTGGTACACTGATGCCAATGACTTCCTAGAACACTTACCTAGAGGAGGAAAACTGTACAAAAAGAGCCCACCCTCCAAAAATAATCCCATTTTATTGGAGGCGGATCCTCCCTAATTTATTCTTTTATTTTACAGAAAATTAATTCACAAATGTAGATGTAGAAAATAATTTTAGCAGTTTTAAAATATTATCTTCATTGAGATAAAAGATTCATAATATTTAATTAACCACTTAAGCCTTTTTAAAATGAGATATATCATTCTTATACTAGTCAGATGGCTATTATAAAAAATGTCAAAAAATAACAGATGTTGGGGAGGATGAGGAGAAAAAAGAACACTCATACGCTGCTGGTGAGAATATAAACTAGTTAAAATTCTATGGAAAATTTCTATAGAAATTTCTCAAAGAACTAAAAATTGAACTACCATTTAATCCCACAATTCCACTACTGAATATCTATACAAAGGAAAAGAGGTATTTATATTAAAAAAAACAAAAAACAAAAAAAAACCCAGCACTTCTATGTTTACTGCAGCACTATTCACAATAGCAAATATATGTAAAGTTAGGTCTCTATCAGGAGATGGTTAAAGAAAAGGTAATACACAACAGGTGCCAAATAATGTATACACATCTTAAGTATAACGTTCACTCAAAAAATGGCATTAATTCAATGAATGCTGGAGTCACCATGCAACAGGCAGGACCATCAAAGAACATGGTGGAATCATGGTTGAGTGAATGTCATACTACACACATATATAGTAGAAGGACAAAAAGATAATTTTTTTAAAAATTAGCTAAATAGAGGTTATCAAATTATAAAAAATCAAGGATAAAAAAGACATGATTGCATTTTTTCTAGCTGAAAATCATTTTATGATTATATATTATTAAATAATGATCCCCTTTATAGATATCCATTATTTTGTCTATTCATTCAGCAGCTGCTGTGGTTTAAATATGATTGGTTTGTCTCCACCAAAATTCATGTTGAAATGTGATCTCCAAAATGGTGTAAGTGGAACCTAGTAGGAGATGTTTGGGTCATGGGGATACACCTTTTATGAATGTCTTAATGCTATTCTCATGAATAGAGTGAGTTCTCTCTCTGCATTTTCCAGCTATCTGGAAAACTGATTCGTTCCTGTGAGAGTGGGTTGTTATAAAGTCAGGAAGCCCCTTAATTTTTGTCTCTTTGCATGTGTCTGTTTTTCCTTGACCTTTGCTTTCATGTTATAATGTAGCACCAAAGCCCTGGACTGAAGCCAGGATTGTGCCCTTGGCATTCCCCAACATGCAGAACTATGAGCTAAATAAACCTCTTTTCTTTAGAAATAACTCAGTATTAACTATTCTGTTCTGACAACACCAAATGGACTAGGACAATAGCCTGTGGGTGTATAGGTTGGGTTTACTTTTTGACTAATAATGCTATTATACACATTTGTGTACAAGATTTGTATTTTAACACTTATTTTCAATTAAATACTTAGAATTTGGATGGCAGGTCATATGCTACTTGAACTTAAATTTTTGAGTAATTGCCAAACTCTTCCACAGCTGCTATAACATTTTTTATGCCAGCAACAATGTATCAAGATTTTCATGTATCTACATACTTGCAAACATTTGCTAATATTTTGAAAAACAAACCAAACCATAGCCATGGTAAGGATAAAGTGGTATGTCATTTGTGCGTGTGTGTGTGTGTGTGTGTGTGTGTGTGTGTGTGTGTGTTAATTTTAGTTTCAGGATATACATGTGCATATTTGTTACATAAGTATACTGCATAATTATGGGAATTTCTAGTGTATTCATCACTCTAATATCAAACATAGTGCCTAATAAGTAATTTTTCAACCCTATCCCCTGTCCCCTCTTCATTTCTCTTTTGGAGTTACAAGGGTCTATTATTTCCCTCTTTTATTCCATTTGTGTGCATTATTTAAATCCCACTGATAAGGGAGAATATGTTATATTTGATTTGATGTTTCAGAGTTAGTTCATTTAGGATAATGGTCTCCAACTCCATCCACGTTGCTGTAAAGGACATGATTCCAGTCCTTTTTTGTGACTGCGTAGCATTCCATAGTATATAAAATTTTTTCTTTATGTGATCAACTATAGATGAACCCTTCGGGTTCCGCGATTTTGTTATTGTGTATACTGTTGTGATCCATATACGAGTGCAGGTGTCTTTTTTACATAATACTTTATTTTTCTTTCAGTAGATACCAAGAAATGAAATTGCTGGATAGAATGGTAGTTTTGTTTTATTTTTTGAGAATTATCCAAACTGCATTCCACAGAAGATGAGCTAATTTACATTCTCACCAGCAATGTGTAAGTGTTCCCTTTCTCTACATTCTCATCAATGTGTTGTTTTTTTCACTTTTCAGCAGTAGCCATTCTGACTGGTATAAGCTATATCATTTCAGTTTTAATTTGCATTTTCCTAATGATTAGTGATGTTGAGTATATTTTAATGTGTTTATTGACTGCCTGTCTTTCTTCTTTGAGAACTGTATCTTCATAACCCTTGCCCAATTTTGAATGAGTTGTTTTCTTTGTTGAGTTGTGGATTCTGGATGGTAGTCCTTGTTGGAAGCATAATGTACAATTATTTTCTTCCATACTGTAGGTTGTCTGTTTAGTCTGTTGATTATGTATTTTGCTGTGTATAATCTTTGTCTCATTTATTTATTTATTTTAAAGATGTATGGTACAATTCAGGATTAGGTAGATAAGTGGCCATTGTACAGGTAAAGTTTGGGCCTCCCATTGATCCCCGTTTATTTTTGTTTTTGTTGCCTTGCTTTTGAGATCGTTTTCATAATTTTTTTGCCTAGACCAAAGTCCAGAAGATTTTTTCCAATGTTTTTTCTAGAATTTTTATTGATTAGGTTATAATGCATCTATAGTTGTTTTTTGTATTTGGTGAAATATAGTCATCCAGTTTTATTTTTTTGCATATGGCTAGACAATTCTCTTAACATTATTTATTGGCAGAGGCATCATTTCCTCATTCTTTTGTTTGTTTGTTTGTTTGTTTACTTTATCTAAGATCAGTTGGTTGTTAAGTATGTGTCTTTACTTCTGGGTTCTCTGTTCTGTATCATTGATCTATGTGTCTATTTTTCTACCAGTACCATGCTGTTTAGTTACCAGGGCCTTGCAGTATAATTTGAAGTTGAATTCCGTACCTCCAGATTTTATTATTATTATCACCATTATTATTATTTTGCTTACAATTGTTTTAGAAATCAGGTTCTATGCCTCGATATTTTTTTTTATAACTTTTAGATTTTGCTTAGATTTTCTTTGGCTACTTGGGATTTGGGGGTATTTCATATGAACTTTTCTAACAACTTTAATAGTTGTTTTCTAAGTCTGTGAAAAGTGACATTGGTATTTTAATAGGAATTGCATTGGTGATTAGAATTTGCCTAATGACTAATGATGTCAAACATCTTTTGATGGATTCAGAGACCCTTTGTACAAAATCTATATAAATGTCTATTCAAGTTATTTGACTGTTATAAAATATATGACACATAATAAAGCAAATACTAAAACTGCAGAAGTAATTCCTAACTTATCAGTAATCACATATAATATAAAAGATTAAATTATTCAATTAAAAGTGATAGATTGACAGAATATATGCTCTTACAATTTCTATGTCTAGAAATGCTAGCCTGAAAAATTAGGTAAAAAAAATAAAATGTGTATTCCATTTGTCTTTTCCTTGCATTCTCTGAGACTAATAGCATCACTATGTCAATCTTTGTGGTGAGTATTTTTGCCTGATACTCAAAAATTTCAAATATTACTTTCACCTATTTAATTTTCTAAAGTTTCAGTTGTTACCACTGATTCCTTATGCCATTTATTAGTTCTTCTGCCATTTGAAGTAATTGGAGAGTATAATGGGTAGGTAAATAGGTGAGAAAAAAAATTAAAGTATCTTCTTCATCTTAGTTGTTTTTAACATCCAACCTAAGCACCTTATAGAAGCTCTGTCTGAGTTCCTTGTTCTTGAGTGCATACACCATAGGGTTGAGGGCAGGGGGAATGACATTGTGTAGCACATTGAGTAGAACTGGAATGAGAGGAACTCTTATTCCTGCACCATGAGTAATAGAAATGACAATGATGACTGTGTAAAAAAAAAGGATTAGAATGAGGTGGGAAGTGCAGGTACTTAAGGCCTTAGATGCAGCTTCTACTGAGTTCAGTTTCAGCACAGAGTGAAGTATTAAAGCATATGATAAAATAATCAATACTAGGTCACCTCCCATGAGTGTCCAAGCCAAAAGTAACTGATTAATACTATTGATTTTACTATCATCACAGGATAGGCTAGTGACTCCAAGGTTAGAGCAAAGACAGTGTTCAATTTGATTCCGGGAACAGTAGTGTCTTTGGGCAGCCAACACAGGCACTGAGATGGGAGACAGACTGTTTCTGAATACCATGAACACAGCTGATTTGATCACAAAGGACCCAGTTATTATCGATGGATATCGCAGTGGGTGGCAAATGGCTACATATCTGTCGATAGCCATGCAGACAAAGATACCTGACTCCATGGCCACAAAACAATGTATGGCATACATCTGAGCAAAGCACTCAGGGAGACTGATGGCCTTAGCATTGAACCACAAGATAGCTAAAATCTTAGGCATGATGGTGGTAGCCAGACCCATATCCACCACTGCCAGGGTGCCCAGGAAATAGTACATGGGTTGGTGCAGTGCCATCTCTTGGTTGATGATGATCAGGATAAGGATGTTGGCACTGAGAGCCAAGAGATAGAGCAGAGCCAGGGGCAGGGAGAGCCAGTGCTGCCAGCTGTGGATGCCAGGGAATCCCATCAAGATGAACTCAGTGACCTGGAACTTAGAACTGTTGGAATCTCTAAGATCCTGGAGCATCCCTAAGGAAAAGAAAATCAGTGTTGCTATCCCAAATTATCTTTATGGAAGTATTGAGAAAGGAATTACCCACGATCTAGTATTAATGGGAGAATAACAATCTTCATTATTTTCATCCAGTCACTTAACATTTATTATAAAACAGGAACTGTGATAGGTGACACATACTATGTGTTCACTCAGTTAATCATTCCTAATACTTTGTAATGCAGGCCATATATATTCCATCTTCTCATAACTGAGGAATAGAACATTAGAGAATATCATTACATTGTTCAAGATCTTCATTATGAAGCCATGGTAATAGGACACAACAAAAATGACCTGATATAACAGAATGGTTTTCCAAGTTTGGGTTCACTAATGAGTTGTTTCCTTTAGAGAACTATTGTGTAGATTCCAATTGGAGGCTTTTTATGCATGGAATCTTCATAAATAAGACATTAGATTACAACTTACATGTAAAGTAACTTTTTTCATGTACTGCAGCAATTTGTGAAGTACTAATGTAAATTGTATGAAATAAAATAGTATGCCCATTTTATCATGATGAAACCTATGTACAAAAATACCATAACCAGCTGGGCTCAGTGGCTCAGCCTGTAATCCCGCGCCTTTGGGAAGCTGAGGTGAGTAGATTGCCTGTGCCCGCGGGTTCGAGACCCGCCTGGGCAACTTGGCGAGACCTCATCTCTACAATAAATAAAAAATTAGCCAGGCGTGGTAGCATGCCCCTGTAGTTCCAGCTACTTTGAAGGCTGAAGCGGAAGGATCGCTGGAGCCCAGCAAGTCGAGGCTGCGGTGGCCGGGAGCGGCCACTGCACTCCAGTCTGGGTGACAGAGTGAGACTCCAACTCAAAAAAAAAAAAAAATTACCAAAACCTTTTTAAAAACCATACAACAATAAAAAACAATAATGTGGTTTGGAAATCCCTGTGTTGTTTAAATATCATTGTTTATGACTTTGCATTACCTTCCTCTACTTGGGCATGTTTTTTACTCTTAAAACAGTCCAAATGACTGCACTACAATGAATGAAACAGAATTGGAAAATAAAAGGAAAAATCAAAACAAAACACACAAAAACCTATATACTTAGGATAACATTTTGACAAAAGTTAATGCCAATATTAAATATAAACCAAGATCAAATCAGTTTATATCTAAGATATTTTCTTGATATAACTATTTGTTAACATTTTAGTATACAAATTCCAAACAAATGTTTATAATCTGTTTTGTCATTTCTATTTTTTAATATTTCAAATATTAAGGATATAAGGATACAGAATATTTAAAAATATTGTGGGTTAAAATAATAGAACCTATAGAAAGAGCAGTGTTGATATAGACCTAGTAGATGCACTCATCTTAACCCAAAGAATGACCTCAAAAGCTCTTATAACATAATGAGCTAAAATAAATTAAGGAAGATATTTATTTCAATAAATATTTTTTGCATTATATATAGTATTTCTATAACTTCTAAGTTTTGATTGTTGATTTTTATAATTTTATTTGTTTTGTACCTTTATTTTGGAGTTGTTACTCAACGTGTCTGCTCATCTTTGGCTCTTAATTCAAACTTAATAAAGAGGCATTAGGAAGTTCTTTTGAAATTTTGGGTCATAAGAGAGACTCAACTAGAAGTATTTACTTAGAATTCTTTTATAGGGACCTCTTTGCATGCATTATTAACTATCGGTATTCACAGGGTTTTTTTGGTTTTTTTTTTTAGGAACTTTAGATTATTGCAGAAAAAATTCACCTAACTACATCCTGGAGAAATATATGAATGAATACTTTCTAGTGTTTTTGTACTAGAGTAACAGAAGGTTATCGGGAATTGCACACATGAACATGAATATTGGATTCAATTGTTCATTTTGAAAGGTGCTTCATTTTTGGTTTCTGCCATTCCTGATGTATATGGTTTCACAGGATTTATTAAGGTTCCCTCCCAAAATAAATTAAGTCATTGGATAAGGAAAGTTAATATGCTTTGGATAATGGATAAACCAGAGATATCAAATTGTTTCTTCTTTAGTTTTTCTACCTGTATCCTAGTTTTATCTATATGTGTTCATACTTAGGGATGATAGATTAGATATTGCAAAAGCCCATTTCTTTTGGAAATAGAAGCAACACAGGACAAATACATTAGTAAGAATGTTCTTCAAAGTCTTCTTCTTGTGTCCTCAAAAATTTTAGAGTTATACAAGAGCAAAAATGGCAACTAAAGCAAGACTTTGAAGAATATAAGGAACATTTTCCAAAAGGGAAATACAAATGCTCTTATAATGAAGTATGATTAGGGTTCTGTCAGGTGATTTTTCCCTTCTGTTATTGTTTGCTATTCTACTCACCTTCCACTGAGACTTTCAGCTTTGTAACTTTACAAGCATCTATTCTGTTTCATGCTCTAGCCTCCCACCCCACCAAATTTAAATTCAGTCATTACTTTCTTCAGGAAGAATTAACTCTCTCTTGGAAAGGATAGAGTCACCCTGTAAATCTTACTATAAAAAAGAAAAAGGGATTGGGCAGGCTTGAAGGTAAGTAATATATTTGTTGATGAAGTCAATCTCTTTTGTTATTTTAACATACTCTTTTTATTTAAAAAAATATTTATATTATTGAAAACAAAATCTTTGCTATTTATCTATGCAGCATTTAGTCAGATACTATGCACATAATAGATGACAATAAATGCCTCTGAATGAATGAACAGATTAATGAACAAATAATTGACATTTTATTATAGATGTTAAGAATTGTTGCACTGCTGTATAAACATTTTTTTAAATCATGAAAAGATCAGTCAGAAGTAGCAAAATTAAAATATCTAAAAAAAATCTTCATCAATCTACAGAAAATGTAAATTTCTAAGTACATTTCTCACATTAAAGAAAGGAACCCAAGAAATGAAAATAAATAAGATACTAAACAAAACAGAGATCTTGATTGAGGCAATAAAGATCAATTATTTAAGATATACTGCAAATTGCCATATTTCACATTTATTATACATGCATATATTTGGAATAAAAAGATGTGCAAATAAAAACATACATAATTTGTGCACAATTTTTTTGGCAAATAGAAACCATAAAAACATACCTTAAAATTTGGGATAAAATATGTAATGTCCGTCAAAGTAGAAAGCAAAGAAAATAAATGTTGGATCAAGATCACTTTCAGAATCAATCGATGAAATGCAGGATACTGTGTAATTAAAATTGATTGTTCAAGGTAGGTTTATCTCCAAGTTTGATACATTTTTCCACAAGTAAAAATTTTAAAAATATACATAATCATCTTACTTGTATGGACTAATACATTTTTCCATAAGCAAAAATTTTAATATACTATAGTCATCTTTAACAAAATATAGTTACTGCACATACTCCCTCTTCACATTATTTGGTTTTGTTTTGTTTTGTCTTGTTTTTTTGAGACTGAGTCTCACTGCGTTGCTCAGGCTGGAGTGCAGTGACAGGCTCAGGTGACTCTTCCACCTCAGCCATCCTAGTAGCTGGAACCACATGTGTGTGTCACCACATCCAGCTAACTTTTGATTTATTGCAGAGACAAGCTCTTGCCATGTTTCCCAGGCTGGTCTCAAACCCCTGGACTCAGGCAATTCTCTTGCCTCCGCTTCCCAAAGTGCTGGGATTACAGGTTTGAGCCACTGTGCCTGGCCCTCTTCACATTATTAATACACAGTAGGAAATTTGAAAATGAGGAATCCACTTACCTCAACTACAGCTTATTAGTTGAGCCTCAATTTACTACTTAGTGACACTTGCTTGCATGGACCTATACTCGTAATTGCTAGGCTAAAAAGGCCTTATAACTTACATTATAGACAAAAGAATAATGTGAAAGTGTTGTTTTGTATACTAAAATTGTCTTCAAGTTTCTGTCTGGCTGATGAATTTGTATCTTATGTTTGCATACAATGTTGTATTTTTCAAATTTCTTTCAAAATCTATCATTAGAAACAAAACTGCAAGATTTCATATATATATAGATATATATTTAAAAGTATATATAATTATATAAAGATTATTGTGAAAATAAGTTAGACTTTTAAATGCATTTTTGAAAAATACTTGACTAACCTATGCCAAATTATAACAGGTTATTGAAAAACGAGGCTAATTACATATATTTGAAAAGTCATCTCTTAACTTTATCTGTCTGTACAACAGAGGCAAGTTGAGAAACTAGGAAAATCATGGATATATATGAGAATAGAAGTATATCTCTGAGGCACTTGTGCTCTATTCCAAATAATGTATTTCCTAAATGTGAGGTAAATATTCATTTGTTTCTCCATTTTCTTTTTTATGGTTATAGTTTTAATTGCTAAAATTATCTTTATTGTTAAATGAGGAATTTGGAACTGAACTTTAATACGTTTACAGGCCTCTCAGGTAAAGGTTTTATTTAATACCAAGTAATATTGTATTAGCTAGAAATTAAATGAGACTTTTTCCCAACATAAATTTAAAATGATTTCAATATTATATAACTTTACTTTTCTGCTAAGAAAATGAACTCATGCTGTGCTGTGAGTTAGTAGATCCTTTAAAGTAGTAGCATTATCACATGAATATCACTCTAAAGTACAACTTTGATATCACCTGTTCTCATCCCCAAACTCATAGACATTAAGTTTGTTTCCTCATCTGACCATCTTCAATCTTTACAACTTGTTTTCTTCTTTCAGTTTGACAGTAGGTTTATCCAAGTAGGTTTGTTATCTAAAATGGATGAAACACAGTCATTACTAAGTTGTTCCAGGAATAAAGCAGGTTATATTCTTATTCTGAAGAACAAGGGGAGGGCAGGTAACAAGCAAAAGAGTTCTCACCGTGATCAGCAATTATTTTCTAGCTATTTCTCTTGTCATTGGGTGATTTATAACTGACTTTCACCTCTACCAAAGATTCTTATTTGCTTAGGAAAAACATAGATATCCATAATTATCTTGA